ATTTATAGCTAATTAATCATATTCAGAAGATGAACACACAATGGTATATTTAATTAAAAATAAATTAGACAATTATTGGGCTATTCTTAACTCTGATGAATTGACAAAAATAGCTTCAATCCTTGATCTTAATCATATTTTTAGATTCTAATAAAAAAATTATTGCTCTTATTAGTTTACGAAATATAATGAATCAATATGAACTACCAGCTTTATCCTCTATATCAGCAATTGATAATAAATAAAAATAGTTTATATCATTAATTTCACAACAAACTATTACACTACTAGCAGAAGAGTTAGATGCATATTTGTCTATACTACCTATATCACTATCTATTAAAAATGCTTCTCTTCAATGATGGGCCACTAATAGATATAATTATCCAATACTTGCAAAGATAGCACAAGATTATCTTGCAATCCAAGCAACAAGTGTTTCTTGTGAGGAAGCATTTTCAATAGCTTCAAAAACAATTTCTAAACTTCGTCTTAAACCTAACATGCTTGTGCATCACTTTGCTTAAAAAGTTGGATGAAAAACAATATTGGTATACAAAAATAATTTTTTTTAGTATTTTAAGTTTCTTTTGAAAAAATAAAAAACTTTGAAAGATATTAAAAAAATACTAATTTTAATAAATTAGAAATAAAATACTATATATATTATTTTCTTTTTATTTTTAGTTTTTTATTACTATAAATTGTTAGAAAAATCTAGTTATACTTGTTTAGTAATCTTTCAAAAATAGTAAGTGTAAAGAGATTATTATTTTAGATAGAAAGAATATTCATTATAGTTAACATATTTAATATAGTCAATATAGTATATAGTATACATAAATAATATAATAAATATGAATATGTTGATTATAAATAATATAATAATTATAGTTATTATATATTTTATAAGTATATAAAAGATATAAAAGACTAACCTTTTTTAGTTAAATAAAGATTAACTTTTGTGAAGTTTAAAAATTCATAAAATTCTAATATTTTTAAAATAAAAGTAAAAGTACAGTCAAACCCCTCTATAGTTACCTCCTATATAGTCACAAAATTGGTATAATTACAAATTTATTTTTACCAATTATTTATAACTATATAGAAAATACCTCTATATT